ATTTTTGTCGAGAAAAATTGTTAGATCATGACATGCGATAGTCATTGACGAATGTGTGGTTTTGCTAAATGTGGTGTCTTTGGTCTAATAATATGGAAGGTATGGTTGATGGAGGATGGGTCGACCTAGGTAGGCTTCATGAAGAATTTCATAATTATGTCTTATGATAAATTCAACAAATGGCCATGGAATTTTTGAGGTTGTTATGGCTTTATGGGTTCGAGTTAAGGAAAATAATTAAGGTAGCCTAGATTATGTTCATTTTTTATTTTAGCTTGATGTTGAAAGGTTGTATGCTTGGGGCGCTATGTGAGGGATTCAACCATGTACTCGTTTTAGAACATGTTCATGTTTATGCTTGTGTTCATGGTTATTTAAGGCTTAAAAAGTTTCGGCCTTATTATATCATGTTAATTGTATTCATGATTGGTTTAGGCTTGATGATATTCAATCTTGTCATGTCATATGGAATGTATCCAGGAATGGCTTAATGTCATATGATTCATGTTTATGTTTGATATTGCATTCTAATTGAATTCATGCTATGAAATATTTTATGCCATGATTTCAAGCATTTAAGAAAAAAATATGTATGTGGTTTTGTAAAGACATATCATGGTTTTTAAGCGTGATTTCAAGTATTCAAAGAAAAGTCATGTTCATGTTTTCAAGACGAGCTTGCAAAGAGAATGATTTGCTATATACTTTTTATAAGACATATAAAGGGAATGATCCGGTTGTTACTCTTTATATATTTTAAAAGAGGGCATACTAAAATATTGATATGGTGAATACTCTTAGTATGTAAAGGAAATGATCTAGTGTATACCCCGGTGTGATGACTCAAAACAGAATGATCCGGTGTATACTCTTCCGGAGGATGATAGAAAGTGTATTTAAGAATTATAGATAATGAATTTATTTGCATTCATGCATGGTTACATTTAATGAGCTTTAACTCATTTTATTTGTCTTATGGTGTAGGTGAATAAATCGATACTTAAGGACAAGTAGGTATGCTAAGGATGCTAGCCATGAACTATAGACTTTGCCAAATCATGTACTATTGGTCTAAGTTTAAAGTTTGAACGTTAAACCATTGCTAAGTTTCGAGTCACTTTGGTAGTTGCCTAGATTCACCATTTTGAGTTGTAAATGATAAATGTTAGGTTATTTTGGATATGTTTATAGATATATTGATGAGATTAAAGGATAATGAAATATTTATGTTTATTTTTGATGTGTTGATGAATTTATCTATTTAAAAATGTGTTGATGTAATTATGGAAAGGATATTAAGTTAGTTGAACATATGAATGACTTTAGGTCTATGCACTTGCTAGTTTTAATTCAAAGATGAAAATAAAATGATGAAGAATGATTATAGTCATTTTAAATTTATGTTTCGATTATGAATAAAAATCAAATAGTTTATATTATGCCACAAGTAGCAAAAAATTTAGTAGCATTAAATGTCAAATCTTAGGAAGCCTTAAACTTTTAACCGAATAAGGAATTCCATTGTGCATAGCCATAGAGGTCTAGGGTGAAGGATATAGTGCATTGTATTGTACTCTTGGGTGTGAGATATTTTAGTAGCACTCTTGACTCGGTGAGGATATGAATGTTATATATATATAGTGCAATAGTGCATTGTATTCCATGATGCGTAGCCCACACATTGTGCAAGAGGGGATGTGTTGGCCTCCTCCAACTTATGATGAAGTTACGATTGTCAAAAATCCGACCGAAAAATAGAGACACCGAGAATCTAGCCCTCCGAAGCTAATTTAAGCTTCATTTTCACTCCAAACACCTCGGAAAAACTTAAATCGGCTAAGATAAAAAACTTGTTTAGAATCGTAAAATTCATTTTAATGTAACCAAAAAAACTCAAAACTCCAAATTAAATTCAAAACTCAAAAATATTTTAGTGTCTCGATCTCTTTTCTCTAACTATTTTATGATTTTTGACTACCATAAATAAACTCTTCTCTCCAAGGTGAATAAATTAAAACCAAGATCGACTATCGAAGTGGCTAACTAAAATGAACCTCATCGTGACTTTCTCTCTCTTTATTTCTATCTATATCTAGAAACCAAACTATGATATAAATGAAGTTGAGAATCAAAACAAAAGTTTTACAAAAAAAATTAAGGACCAAAATGCAACATTGACACAACTTGCATATTAAATGTCTAAACAAAAGTCAAAAGTAAAAAAAAAAATGTTATTATAAATTCTCGAACAAAGAGAAATATATATATATATATATATATATGTATTATAATACCAAGTGAATAAGATAAATGAGTGTGAGTGAATAATACTACAATAAACATAAAACTCAGTATTCATTACTATTCATTTATTGTTTTGTTTTTTTTTATCCTTTTTTTTATATAATTTTCTTCCTTTTATCTATGAATATTTAAGAGGTTGAATTAGATGAGTTAGTAGATATTTGGTCCCTATAGTTCTAGTATTTTTCTTAAAAGGGCCCATCTTCTTTTTTAATTGGTCCTTCAATTTAAAAAAAATTATGTACACCTTTTTTTAATTTATCATAAATTTGTGTCAAATATTAACAATTTTCTTAAAAAGAGACAAATAGTTTAAAATTAAGAAAAACAGTACAAAACGAAACATTAAGGGTACAATGAGCAAATATTAAGATTAATAATTAAATAGATTGTCCATACAAACCTTAAAGTATTGGTTTAGCGGTTAAAAAATTTTATTTATTTATTTATTTGGTTAATTTTCTAAGTTTAAATTTTAGAGTCAATAGTCTTTTTTTTATCTTTTTATAATAAATTCATTTAAACATCCAGGTAAAGCATATGTTTTTAAAATTATTCGAAGTCCGAAAATATCTTTATTGTAAAAAAAAAAAAAAAAATTAGGCATACAAAAGGAAAAGCAAAATGAATTACTTAGTGATACGAAATTAAAGTATATCCTTTCATTATTCCATATCAAAAGTCTTGATGTGGGTCTACCAAAACTAATCAAATTTCATTGTCCTGGCTAGCTTAATTGGCACACATGTGGGAGGGTAGAGGCAGACATGTGCACATTACCCTCCGAATAATTGTCAAACGGGACCCACGTTCTCCTTTCCCTTCCTTACACCGAGCACGATTATATTTGTTTGGGAAACGTTATCCATTTTTTCAAGAAAAGAAAGGGCAAAAGGACTCCTCCTGATTCCTCTCTCCCACCCACTTTCTCCACCGCCGGACAAGGACAAATCCTCCCCTTCCCATCACCTTTTTTCAACGAAGACAAGTACTAATTTAATGGTTTTCATATATCAACCATGCTCTTGCAATGATTTCAGCGACAATACAAATGTTGTTATTTGTAATAAAATAAAAATAAAAACCAGTTGTATTTTAAAAAAGGTTTTATCTATAGGTTATATGTTACAGAAAGTTTTACCAACTCATCAAAACTAATACACTTGATGTAATTTAGTTAAAAACCAAATTGTTTTGTATAAGATTAGAAACCTTGTTTCTCTTTTTATCAATTATAAAATTATAGAGTTTTACCAATTTATTTCTCAAGACTAATAACACACTTGATGTAATTTAATTTGAATATTAACATAATTGATCAATTGAGTCAACCAGTTGATCCAACATGTAGACCCACGACTTCATGGAGTTATACCTCAAACTAGCTCTAACAATTATGATTATAATATTCTTTTTTTTTCTATTTTTTTTTATTTTTTGATCTCCATAATATTTCCAATTCAAATGTCCAAATTAATCTTCTTTATCTAATTGGGTAAAATTTTATATATATATAAAAATTTAAAATCAAAACCACTTGTTAATCTCCTTCTATTCAAATCTATTTTTTATATAGTATATCCATTTTTTCTTTTTTACAGATCATGAAGCAAACTAAAATTAATGATTCATAACTAGAGTTACGCTCGATTACCAAACCAAAAGTAATGATTCATAGGAATTATGCGCCGTAACTTGTCCGAGTAGGTAGCTTTCACAAGGCCCAAATATGGCAAATTTAGACGGATAGCTATAGCTTGCTTTTAGGCGTGATAGGCCCCAAAACTTCTACATTGTGCAAACTAATCCTTACATTTTTTATATTGTTTTTACAAAAATTTCAAATTTTAATTAGGGCACTGTTCTTTTCCTTCGTGCACGTCTTCACCTTATGTATTTTTTTGTTATCGTCCCTCTATTTATTTCAATCTAGCTAGAGAGCATGACAGTGAGTCAATTAAATTATTAATTAAGAAAGAAAAGTTGGGCATGAAACAAGATAAATGATACTATACTATTCATCATATTGATGTGTATGATGACTATTGCATGAGTCATCCATCACCAACCCAATGTTAAAAATAAACAAATAGTGGTGGGAGTATGAAGGGGAAAACAATTTTGTATCACATTTCTACTTTTATTTTTATTTTTTATATGTAAAATTAAAGAATGTTTTTGGATCTAAGTTAGAAAAGCATCAAACTATGTCTAATCTTTAGTTAATTTTAAATACATATTCTTTGAGCCCACAAGAAATTTAAAAAAAAAAACTTATCTGCCACGACCACTCTTTTTATCGATACAATAACAATATCCTTCGGTCGTCTCACTTCCAGTCTGCTACTGAGGCTCCTTTAGCAACGCTTATTATATATATTTGAAAAGGAATTGATTAAAGAATGACAAGTGCTGCATGTTATTGAATTACCAAACTGAAAACGACAAGGATTTTTTTTTTCCTTTTCTGTGTACAAAATAATTGTTGTCCGAAGGAAAACAAAGACTTCTCTCGTATTCGTATTGTTCTTACATTTTTGTCTAGCAGAAACAGAGCTAACCACTACTCTCGAACTTCGTATTTCTATATATTTTGCTGTTTCTCCTTTTGATATATTTCCGAGCAAAGAAAAAGTCCGGTTTTGATTTTGGTATTCGAAGATCAGTAGACGAGAGATTAAGTCAACTAAGAATCAATGGAGAGCACAATGAAGGAGATGAGAGACGGAGCATCGGTGCTTGACATGGACCCCAAATCCACCGTCGGTGGCGGCGTTGAGGATGTTTACGGCGAGGACAGAGCTACCGAAGATCAGCTTGTTACTCCCTGGACCATCTCAGTCGCCAGGTTTCTTTTATTTTTGTTAACTTTAATTTCGATGTTTGTACTTGTTTTTTATTTGGGTTGCTGATTTTATTTGCAGTGGATATTCCATGTTGAGGGATCCACATCATAACAAAGGGCTTGCTTTCACTGAGAAAGAAAGAGATGCACACTACCTGCGTGGTCTTCTCCCTCCAGCAATCATATCTCAGCAGCTTCAGGAAAAGAAATTGATGAACACCATTAGGCAGTATCAACTCCCTCTTCAAAAATATATGGCCATGATGGAACTTGAGGTATAAATATAAATATAAAATCGCCTTCACTCCTATAAAAATGGGATCTTTGAGCCTGTTATTATGGTGGGTCCCATTTTTATGTGACCTACCAAGTAATTTATCCAAACATGACACGTTCTAGCATAATAAATTGTTGTGGCGATATCCTTGATAATTTTCACTGGGTGGGTTAACAGGAGAGGAATGAAAGGTTGTTTTATAAGCTTCTGGTTGATAATGTTGAGGAATTGCTTCCGGTTGTTTATACACCGACAGTCGGTGAAGCTTGCCAGAAGTATGGGAGTATTTTCAAGCGTCCTCAGGGTCTATACATAAGTTTGAAGGAAAAGTATGATTCCACCACCCCCCGACCACCCCCCCCCCCCCCCCCCCACACCACTCTTATTCGTTTACTTCAATTCCGTCAACATTTGATTTCTGAGCTAATCTTAGGAACTGGTTGGTTTTATAGGGGGAAGATTCTTGATGTGTTGAAAAACTGGCCTCAAAGGAGTATTCAGGTTATTGTTGTTACTGATGGTGAAAGAATTTTGGGACTTGGGGATCTTGGCTGTCAGGTGAAAGCATATTTAGAGGAAAGGAAAAAAGAAAAAAAGGTCATATTTCTTGTGTTTTATAAAATATATTCTTATGATTATGCTGAAAATGTTGCAGGGAATGGGTATTCCTGTTGGGAAGTTGGCTCTTTACACAGCACTTGGAGGCATTCGTCCTTCGGCTGTAAGCATTTTCAGAACATTTAAGATTCTGCTCAACTTGATTGATTTTCATTTGGTTTTAGGTGTTGCTTGAATCAAGTGCTTCATTTAATACCCTTTTCATCTATCTATACATGGTAGAATAGAGTGAAATCCCATGGGGTATCATAATATTTTAACTTTAATTAAGATCTTGGATTGAGATTCCATCATATGGTTTGTTATCTTGTCTGATAGAGAATACATCCTGCGTTCTTGTTCTAGTGTTTGCCTATAACCATTGATGTGGGTACGAATAACGAGCAATTGCTGAAGGATGAATTCTACATTGGACTGAGACAAAAGAGGGCAACTGGCCAGGTTCTGTAATTGAGAATGTACTTTTTTATGGTCAGGCATGTAAATTTTAATTTACAATCAACATAAAAAAATTTCTTTGTTCTCTTACTTCCAGGAATACTCGGAACTTCTCCATGAGTTCATGGCTGCTGTAAAGCAGAACTACGGGGAAAAAGTTCTTATACAGGTCAGATCCACACTTGACTTGTGCGATCCCAAAGCTTGAAGTTCCTAATTCACTTCTGATGTTGTCTACATTTTTCTTTACCATATTTTGCAGTTTGAAGATTTTGCTAACCACAATGCTTTTGAGCTGCTTGCAAAGTATGGCACAACTCATCTAGTCTTCAATGATGATATACAGGCATGAGCCTCTCCAATTGTGAACCATTACTTAAGATACTGTTTTACTTCTTCTTTAATATGTTCTTCTCTGTCTATTGCAGGGGACAGCTGCTGTTGTTCTTGCAGGTCTTATTGCAGCACTGAAGTTGCTAGGTGGTTCCCTGGGTGATCACACTTTCTTGTTCCTTGGTGCTGGGGAAGTGAGATTCTATCTTTGCCATATCATTTTGTTCTTTCTTTTCCTCCTGCTGCATGGGACAAAATAAATAAATAATTTGTGTATTAGAATAGACTTTATTAAGAAATTGACAATGGGAGGAGTAATGGCATACTCGAATGTTTAAAGCGAAAGCATGGGTTTCTTTTTTTTTTTTTTTTTTTTCCTTTTGGTTAATGATTTCTTCCTTCAAGTTTTTAAGGTAATGATAGGATTCAAAAGATTTTTGCCCATCCATATCCAATTCTATCCAGCATTAAAAATCTATCGGTTACTTTATATATGGATTGTTTGAGCAGTTCATTTCAGCTCTAGCTTTATGATTTTGCAGGCTGGAACTGGTATAGCAGAGCTTATAGCTCTGGAGATGTCAAGACAGGTACTGTTTTGCTCTTACAATATTCATGTCATCTTTAGTGATTCTTGTGTTCTTTCTGGGATTTGGAGTAATGCCATACATGACTCCAATTTTTGTTCATATATTTTTGCATTTACATGTTCTGACTTGTATTGTTCTTCTTCTTCTTCTTCTTCTTTTCTTTTTTTTTTTTTTTCCCAGACAAAAGCACCTTTGGAAGAGACTCGCAAGAGAATCTGGCTGACAGATTCAAAGGTAATACTGAAGCAGAATGTTTGATGACCTGGCCAAACTATATATACCTTCGACAATGATTTAGAATTATTTATTTGCATGAAATCCCCCGTCTCTTAACATCACATCATTTTTCTGACAGGGTTTGGTTGTTAGCTCTCGAAAGGAGTCAATACAACACTTCAAGAAGCCATGGGCTCATGAGCATGAACCTGTTAAGGGACTTTTAGATGCTGTCAAGGTGTGAAAATGTGCTCAATTTTCAACTACTTGCCCTCGACTTTTGTTGGTTTCTCATTCATTTAGCCCACTTTCTCAGGCAATCAAACCAACAGTCTTGATTGGAACTTCCGGGGTTGGAAGGACGTTTACTAAGGAAGTGATCGAGGCCATGGCTTCTTTCAATGAGGTTCAATATGTCCAAAGCATTTTTCTTGTATATTTGTGAATGATGATTGCATATCAACCAAAAAAAAAAAAAAACGAAGAAGAAGAAGAAGAAGAAGAAGTTGACCTTTTTCTATGAATGGCATTGCAGAGACCTCTAATCCTGGCGCTGTCCAATCCAACTTCACAATCTGAATGTAAAGCTGAAGAAGCTTACACTTGGACTAAGGTAAACTCAACATAGTTTATAATCATAATTCATCGCTGGGTGGAGGAAGCACCCCTGGGAGGAATTCACCGTCTTAAGCTTGTTCAGGACTCTATCTAAGCAAGTGTGACTAACTCTAAATTTTTGTTCGTTGCTTTATTTTGAATTAAAGGGAAAAGCAATTTTTGCTAGTGGAAGTCCATTTGATCCGGTTGAATACGAGGGCAAAGTTTTTATTCCTGGCCAGGTCAGACAATATAATTTTTTAGTATTTTAGTATATGAGTTGAACATAAAGGACTGATGTTTGTGATATTCTTGTCCATCCAGTCCAACAATGCTTACATTTTCCCTGGTTTTGGCTTGGGTTTGGTCATCTCTGGAGCTATTCGTGTTCATGATGATATGCTTCTGGCTGCCTGTAAGTTCAAAGCATATCAAGTAGGATATTATCCTTTAGTATAACAAATCTTTTAACTGGCCTTATGAACATAATTAGGTGCTTATATTTTGGAATCAGTTTTCTGCGCTTTAGTTGGCGGCAGGCTAATTTTTTTTTCTTTGTTATTATTTGTATTCTGTGTTCTACTATAGCGGAAGCCTTGGCTGGGCAAGTTACAGAGGACCACTTGGCAAAGGGATTGATTTACCCACCTTTCTCTAACATCAGAACAATCTCGGCCCATATCGCTGCTAAAGTAGCTGCTAAGGCATACGAACTTGGTGAGCGTGTGGCTTTTCTGGTAACATGTTCTTGCAGTAGAAATTCTGAATTTATTTGAATGTTATGATCTTGCAGGGGTGGCTACACGTCTCCCCCGTCCAGAGAACCTTGTGAAGTACGCTGAGAGTTGCATGTACAGTCCCGCCTATAGAATGTACCGGTGAATTGTCTGTCTTGCTTTGTTCGTGCTTTTGTGCCTTATGTTGGTGGAAAGCTTCGTGCTGCCTTAAGTCCGTATTTAAAGCAACTGCCCTGAGCAAAATAAGGTGTCTGATGCCAAGCGTTGAGTAACTTCTTCATATCCGGCTTGTAATATTACCACCTTCCTCGTTGAACTAATAAACAGAGCTACTTTTCTACTCTTGCGTGTATATTCAGTAGTGTGATTTACATTATGTATGACCTTGGATGGATATTATCAATTTTACCACGCATGTGCCAATTATATCTCAACCCTCCGCGACACATGAAATTATCTATTTGTTATGGGATGCGAATTATTGTTGAAAGCGTTTAGGTTCATAAATTATGGCGAAAAATGTAGTACAGCATAGCCTAAACAATGTTAACCATGCATCAGATGGACTTAAAACACTCAAAAGACTGGTATTGGTACTCCTCCACACACCCCCCCACACCCCCCCCCCCCGCCTAAACAATGTTAACCATGCATCAGATGGACTTAAAACACTCAAAAGACTGGTATTGGTACTCCTCCACACCCCCCCCCCCCCCCCCCCTTCTATAGAGTTCCATAATACAATGTGGCTGAGTGTTGATTCTCCAAAAAACGTACCACCATTCTTATCGACAGAATACGTATAGTTCAAGGACAGCTGCGTATAGTCCAAGAACAGCTGTGTGGGGTGGACGATTCAGAATTAACTAATAGGGGAAACATTTATCTATGGTTGCTGGCTTGCTGCTAGTAAATAATGTACAATATTACATCTAAGAGGAAGCCAACCTGCTGTGTGCAGGCGCTTCACTCAATTTGAGAATTCTGATGGCACTGACAAGGGATAACTGTACAACGTAAATATGAAATGTTGTTCTTCAGCAATGCAAGCTCAAGTTTACTGTTTTCTGTACACATTCAGGTCAACATGAGTATCCTTGTAGCGTTGACCCAGGTAATCCCCATATTTGATGGGAGGAAACCTGGAGAAAGAGATACATGCAGCAGTTCATCGAGAAGTTGAAATTAATATACAGCAGTTCATAGATAGTTTTAAAAAGGCAGGTTTATATGGGTTATCTATTCATTTATCCCTCAATTCCCAGTCACTTTTCCCACAATGACATCTCAGATCAGTGGGCTTGACATAATAACTATCTGCTGCCTAAAACAAATTCATGTAGTCCGGGCTGCAGTTACAATGATTTCAATCATGCAACGGAAAATACTGAGGTTTCAACTTACTTGGGAGGATTTTTTTCTGACTTGCAGGTTGGCAAGCATTCCACAAGACAATCATAACTAGGTTCCACAAAATAAGCAATCTGCTCAAAGCAACAAAGTAAATGAGAAACTGTGAAATTGCCAGTAAGCAAAAACAGAAGCTTTGCAATTATGGGAGCTTTGACATTTAGAAGGCACACAAGGCCATCAGCATGAAGGGAAAGGAAAATGACAAAAAAAAAAAAAAGGTATCCTTACAGAATATCGTTCTTGACCATTCCCTAAAACTCTGTGCAATGTGGACCTGCATAATATTATGTAGAGAACATGAGTTATCCAAGAGAAAGGGTCAAAAAGTCAAAAAGGCAAAAACAAGAGACAATTTTTGCGAAATGATGGAAAATTGCATGTGACAGTAACAAGCAAATAAGCAATGGTGGTACCCATACGTGACTTTCATCTTCATGACAATCAGACCCCGAAATTGATTTTAAAGAAATTAATCATGTCTTTCACAATAGCCAACTATGCTGTAGATCTCCTTTAGTCAAGCATTTACATCTCTTTTTCGCATGGAATGAGAATGGAGTTATTGTAAAATATGTAGATCACATGTAGAAAGTTACTTGAAAAGACTGTTGCTCCAGCACTCCAGCATGTCACCAAGATTCACTATGAATGCTCTGTTCAAGATAAACCAAGGAGAAAAGTCACTTTTCCCGAACCAAGACAGTTTCCTGACCTGTTTCTATGGCACAAAGGGGTATTTTGCTGTTATTCTTGCACATTTAGCAGCGTCAGAGTTGAGAATAGTTTGATTTCTATTATATCATTGCTACAAAAACTATAATACAGAAACTAAGCACACAACAGAGCAGGCAAATGCCAGAGTAGAAGTGTTCCAGTTTCATAAACCAATAGCTTAACTAATAATCATTTGAGCACACAACATAACAGACAAAATGCTGGAGTAGACATGTTCAAGTGTCATGAATCAATAACTAGACTAGTAATCACGCTCACATCACTTAAAACTCTCAAAGCTTAACCATATTATTGCATTCTTTTCTTTTTCTAATGTCAAGAGAGGTAATGGGATTCTTGGGTCAAAATTTGTAACAGATACTATAGATATTACTGTTTCCAAATTATTAAACCTGGAGCTTGGAGAATTATGTATTACGGCCTACAGGCAACTTACATTTCTAATTCAACTGAATATTCTAGAGCAAATCCACAATTCAATAGCCATTTATTAATCAAGCATTATTTCGAAGTTGTAATAATGATTTCCATCTAGGCAGATGCAACTCTATAAAGTAAAATTGAAACCTACGGGGCTTCCCTTTCAACAGATATAAAATGACTAAAACTCTTATCAAAACTAGTCCAATTTCTAATTATAGCGAATTTAAATCTCTAATAGTCCTACAGAGGCTCACCCTTTCAATGGGGCTACAAATTCCCATACTTGAGGTTGAGCATATTTATCCTTGCATATCTACAAGAAGATTAAAAGAATTGCAATAACTAATTAAACTGTGAAAAAAAGACGTTGAATGTGTATATATCATTACAAACTGTTCAGACTTGTAGGCCATAAACATCATCTGTGGCTAAGAGGGTAATGAGACCATAGTCAGAATGTGCTCCAGCTCCATATAATCCATTTGAGGGATCAGAAATCTGACCTGGAGACCAAACAATGAAACAAGATATAAATCATACCTGTTGGACAAGGGTCTATAACAACATTCCAGGAGCTTTAATTAAAATTTTAAAAAGCCCTACCTGGATACTTTAGCAATCGCAAGAGTGCAAGTGGCTGGCCAAGAATTTCTTGCCTATCAAAGAAATCAGCCTCCAGATCAAGTGCAAGTGCTATGATCCTTGCTATGGCTCTTGCTACCTCCCTGTATTAATAAGACAAAATCCCAAATGAAAATGAAGCAAACTGATGAAAACTATTTGAAGTGATGCAATTGTCTAATCTTAAGTACCCGTGCACATGCAGAATTAACATGCATACGTCATGCACAAAAATGCAGATTTGCATCATTCACAGCTCTATCCATAGTATCTAAAATATGTTTGCAAGAACTTACAATGCCTCTAGATAAAACTTCTCCATGGTCTGCCTACAACCGGGCAAAATATCTAAGACACCATCCGAGAAAAAAGAAGGAAATTTTCAAATAACAAGCTTTAGTTTTCCAAAAATCTAGTGAGACAATTTCTTCCATAAAAGATACTGGATCAAGGAAGGGGAAAAAAGAAGAAGAAGAGGAAATACCATCTGCAGGCCAAACATTGGGCCCATAAAATGGCTTCCCAGCTTCAGGATCATCTTCAGGGACTTCGACTCCAATGTAATATCCCTCCTTATAATCTCCTGCCACCATAAATATATCCAAAAACAAACAAACAAACAACCTTCCATTTTTGTTTATATTTCCATAAAAAGAAAACAAAAGCAATTTACATTAACAAAAAAGAAGAAGAAGAAGAAAATTACCGTGAACTTGATTATCAGGATCCAAAAGCTCATCCAAAAGAGGAGTGTAGCCTCTATGCTTCTCGTTCCTTAAAACTTTCATTTTCTCACTTAATGGCAACTCGAAAAATTTCTTGCTTTGCTCAAATACCTCCTCCATCAATTCTTCACATAGCCCATGATTGATCACGTAAAAAAATCCAGAATCTAAACATGCCTAATCAAAACCAGAACAATCAAACAACTGGTTAGTTTATAACAATAACAGACAACATAGAATTAGGAAAAAAAAAAAGAGCAAGAGAGAAGTGAAAGAGACAATTAATTGCCTGTTTGATAAGAGATACAGATAGGTTAATATCGGGACTGGAAAGATCGATGCGATTGAGGAAGGAAACTTTAGCAGGCTCGGGATCAGTGTGATGGAGCTTATTCTCCATTTGATGGATCTTATCCTCCATTCTCTTCTGTTTTTTGAGCGTACACTAAATTCCGTACTCCATCACGGAATGAAGTAAGGACCAGGCAGGATGATGATGAGGTGGCGTTAAAATGTATTGCCAGCGTGGGTGCTTCCTAAGCGGATGAGTGGTAATAAATAAGTAGAAACTATATCGGGTAAGTACTCGCTTTCACTGTCCATGACATTGCGAAAAGAAAAGATAAAAATAAAATAGAAAGAAAGAAAAATGAGAGAAAAAAAATTAATTTTTATTTGTTGTTTAGATAAAAGTAGAAATGAAAAGAAAAAAAGATATTTTCTTATTTATATATTTGTAGAAAGAAGAAGGAAAGAAAATATATTCTTGTATATTTACTATAACATCTCTATTATTACATTCTATAGTTAAATATTTTGAAGGACAAAAATGACAATACCTTCTATTCTCTATTTTTTATTATATTTTGGTCTGATTTTCTCCCACTTTCTTCTCAATTTTAGGAGGAAAGTGGATCCCAACACCTTTAAATTTGTTTTTTTTATTCCATACGTTTCCTTTAAAAACCAAACATATTAAAATTTTCTTTCCTCAACACTTTTCTTTCCTCTCCCCGACTTTTCACTCCATTCAAACATAGGGTAAAAGTAAAAATAGATGAGGAAATACATAGGGGTGTTCGTTCGGTAATTCGGTTCGGTTTCAAACTTTTTTGACCGGTTTTCGATTAATCGAATTGCCTAAAAAAGCGAAATCGAACCAAATTATTATTCGATTTTTCGATTCGGTTTTGAAATATATCGGTTTTTTTATTTGGTAATTCGGTTTTCACTCGTAATTATTTATACTTTTTATTTTTGAAAGGATCATGCACTTTCGAAAAAATAAATTTAGTATTTGCATAGCGATTTTTAAGCTATGTTCCTATATATATACATTTTTCAATCTCATTGAACTTTGTCTATTTATTATTATTTAACTACTCCTCAATAGGCATTACTAATATAATATCAATTGATATATATATATATATATATATATATATATATATATATATATATATATATATATATACGAGATGTCATTATTACCATATAAAGTCTAATAATATATAATATATGTTATTGTCTATCGGTATCGATAGATAATGCCATCAAATATGTGTTACAATTAAGACATTTTAACAATTCCTTCTAAAAAGAAACATAGCATGCTTTGAAGCTCAAATATAATCGACTTATTTGTCTTTATGAAAGACACTTTTAATTAACTTGACGTAATTAGAACTAATAATTTTGGATAACTTGTTAAACACTACAGCCATAAGCTAACATTTGCTAATTAAATGGCAATGTTATTTTTGAACAATGAAGAATATTAAAACTTTAAACACTCAACTTTCTTTAGCGCAATTTTAAATTATATGTGTTTACTACAAAGAGACATACTAATTATTATCGGGGTCCATAAATTAACTAGTTTTCTTTCACATAAAAAAAAAACACTATCTCACATCTTTTTTTAAAAAAAAAACTATAAATTGAATCAAGAAAGAAATTATGTACCTCCTTGGGCAATTATAAACAAGAATTGGTTATGGTCATTTAGCGTTGGGCCAGTTGGCTTATGTAATCAATGCAACAAGAATTGGTTATGGGCTAATTGATTTAACTCCAATTAGCTTAGGTTTGCATGAGGGTGAGGTGAGGGTGTGAGGATTGGAATGAACGACGTCGTTCACCGATGAATTTTAAAAAAAAATTAATAATTTCGGTTATTTAGTTTTAATCAAATTTAAAAAAAAAAACCAAAACCGAAACCAAAAACCGACTATATTTCGATTCGGTTCGATTCGGTTATTCGGTTTTCATCGAATAGTGAACACCTCTAGAAATACAATGGGAGGAAGGAAAATGTGAAAGGATGTGTATTTTTATCCTCTTGTTTGGATGAGGGTGGAAAATGAACGAAAGGAAAGCGAAGCAAAAAATATTTAATAAGTAAACAAATGATACTATTATTATTAATACTATATATATTATATATAGATACACACACTCACATACCTAGTGTTTAATATAATTGTCAAACCTAGTGCATATTTGGTAATATCAAGTTTAAAAGCACAACTTAAAAAAAAAAAAAAAAAACATTGTTTTGCGATTTAAAAGCTTTGTTTGGTTAACACATATTTTGCTTTTTTTAAAAAAAAAATTATCACTTTAAATTGAATTTGCTTTGTGATAGCGAGGTCATACCGCCACAAAATCATTTATTTCTTTTTCCTCATTGGATCTAATTACAAAATTATAGTTAGGATAAGCAAGAATCAATCTCACGGAAAATCGGTTCAATCAATTTTCTCCATTATCCGATTGTTCCAAAGTATAAGGAAAGAGAAGGGGGATTTGTTTGTAGAGAGTAATAAAGATAATCAAAATTAAGCAAAGAGATAAATAAGAGTATTAAAAGCCTTGGTCAAAAGATATTCTTCATTTTTTGTTCAATCGTTTATCATTGATTCAAATATTAATCCATTCCTTTCATGAATATTCACTATAGAACAACAACAAGCTATGTTATCCACAATCTTTATTTAGTGATTCGTTAATTAAAACGAGCTATTTAATTAATCTTGAACTATTGAACAACATAGAATAAGTTATCTAGATTTAATCCAATAATAGCATTAAGCAATAGAAAGATAGGTGAACCTAAACAATTCTCATACAAGCTAGGAGAATTTAATCTAGTTCTATATTCTTTAAGGAATTAAACAAAAACTTGTCCATAATTATTAATCCTTAGTTGCTACCACAAGTAAGATTACACAAGCAATTACGGACTTAAATTCTTAACTAGTAATAGATTATATAGATTAATCCACTATGTGCATCCTAGTCAATCAATTAACATAATCATATTCAAATAATATAGAAGAATATAAAGTACCTAAAAAAATAGATTAGAAGTAGAAGCCGTTTAGATCTCACAACGATTTAACTAAAGCTTCAACTTTTCCTTCAACCAAGTAAGAGTATTGAGAGTTGTATGTTTTGCTTACAAAAGCTTTTTCTATTCTATGGCTACATGAATCAATCTCCAAAGTAAAATCTTACTTTTCTATTTATACTCTTACAATTCAAACAAAAGTAGGATGTGTTAGTGTATGCCCTAAAATCCAATCATAGTCTAATTATACTAGCATACACGTATCATGTTGTTGTTGTTGTTGTTGTTGTTATTATTATATACATTGGGCATTCCATTTATTATGTTTATTTATTCATATGTTTAATTAAATGAACATGATAAAGTCCCAAGAATATTAATATTCTTAAATGTCCCCAATCAAGTGTTTTATTGTGGATATATTAAAGAGGCAACAATAAAGCGTAGAGCTTAGTATGTGTAGTTACCGATAATAATGTGTTATGGATATGAGATATCAAGTTAACACATGGGTATATATTGGAGAACATATACTAGATCGACCCACTATAAGATCACTACGTGGATCGTTATATGAGTGTCATAAGTTGATCTCATTGTGACTATGGTGTATGTAGTCCTTCAACTTAAAGTCACTATGGTTCCCTACATAAAAAATCATATATCTTGATACCATCAAACGTCATCCGTAATAGGGTGGACTATAAAGTTAGTTATTGGATATACAATAAATCATGTAGAGGGATGTGAGTGATATGATGTAGGTAGGATGTCTCTCTTATATAACGGGAGTGATGTCTATGGGCCCCTTGATTAAGTGAGATTGTGATGCTCAAATGAATCGATATGAGATATCGATCTCATTTGTTTATAGCAATTAACTTATAGATTAAAAAATGCTAAGATTAAACTATATGAGGATGACACATTCCATGTCTCATGTTTAATCTAGACATATAAGACAAAAGGAATAGACTACATGGTAACATATGTCATGGATAAGGTTATGTTGAATCATCGACATTCTAATTACTTGAGTAGTAATGATACATTGCTAGATGTCGTTCACTATTTGTGATTTTAAATTATTATTTTAAAATCACTACCATAATAAGAACCTATAAGGTCATACATAAAGAGCGATTCGAAATGAGAGTATGACTAAAAGTCCTAATTAAATTAGGATTCCTAGTTAGGTTAAGATTTCTAATTGGATTAGGATTCTTAGTCGAGTTAAGATTCCTAATTGGATTAGGATTTCTAGTAAGGTTAAGATTCCTAGTGAGACCGAGATACGATCTACATTATAATATTTAATTATACTAATGGGCTGGTTTAATTAAGACATATAAAATGAGCTTAATAAAATCCAAGTCCAAGGTCATTAAATATTAATCTATCAAAATAATCAGCTCATGTTTTCCTCTCCCCTTAGGGTTAGGAAATTAGTTTCCTAGTAGGACTATGGCTCATACACGATCTAGTTGTTTTAAAATACAACTAGCATGTAATATTTATAGATATTAACTATGAAGATAGAAACCCTAAATACTTTGAGAGAAAACCCTAGCTGCCTTGAATGAAAGAGTGATCCAATCTTTAAATACCATAATGTAACTCATAGCTAGCACTTCAACTTAAGGTGATTCTCCATTCCAAAATTGTTATGGTGATCGAGATGTTCATGTGGATATTGATAGAGGTTCGGCTTGTAGATCCGTGCTTATGATTCAAACATCCTTCACGTAAGAGACATGATTTGTGCTACAAGAAGTAATGATCCGATCTTCTAACTTTGTTGTTTTTACATAGATCCTGTGGCGTTTCAAAGCAAATTTATATATATATATATATATGACATTATTTCTGCTGTATTAATTCCTATTGTATTGCTTCGAATCCCGATCGGATGCCAACGTATGGAGCCACCTCACATGGGCACCTATCATGGCACATGGTTTGCTTACTTTAGGCATACGGTTGCTCTTTAAGCATACACTATTTGGAACCTTGTACGGATGGTGGCACACGACTTGGTTGATTGAGGCATATGGTCATGTCATATTTAC